AAGGCAGTAAATTGGCATGATGGGATTACTGTTTCATACACAGATGCATGAATATATAATAATGTCCTTCCCTGTAGAAAGTAAATCAGTATTTTATGAACTCAAAAACCATGAAAACGATGGAATCTTTTACAGGGCAATGGAAACATGAAAGACACTATTTTGTATTGTCAAATACTGGAAGCAGAACACCTTGTATGTGGCTCAGGTAGTCTGTGGGTTTAGCAATCAATAATAATGACATTAATTAAATGCCCACTTAGATAGGGAAAAATTCTCAATGGTTTTGTCAAAGAATTTAAAATGGTATATAGAACACCAACATATTTTCAAGGTTTTGATTTTATTATTACTGTAGTTAAGAATATGCACTCACTCACTTGGAGTACTGAAAGAGAACAGCTAAATAAATAAGCCACAGGGGCATGCTGAAAGCAACATCCTGGGGAAGCCTGTCTGGCAGAAAGACAGGTTTATCCAAGAGTGGCATTTTAAATAGCTCCCTACCAACTCTGGGAGAATTAATAACCATCTCTAAATGGCCTGCTTTAAAGCAGGAACCATATAGTCAGAAAGGCTGACAGGTAATATTTTGAAAATAAAGGATGGTTTACTTTAATATATTAATTTGAAGTCTGTGAATCTTCTTAGGCATTGCCCCAAAATACAGCTTGGAAATACGCTCTACACATGTAACTGAGAGGAAGACTGTCTCCATAGAAGTTCAGGCAGGACAAAGGATGTCTTTGAAGCTCACCTTGCTTGTGACTCAAGCCCCTCATCTAACTTACACCAGCAAGGGAGAGTTTCAGGACAGAGAACCATCTTCTTCACTACTGTTCCAGGAAGGAGACCACTGGTAGCATGGTGGACACCAAGTCTACTCTGAGAAGATATTCTGAGAATACTGGATGAAATGCTGTTTCTCTCTCTTCTCTCCCATTTGAGCCATATCATTAGAGTATCTTTTAAAAGTGCATAATTAATAGAAAATCACTTGCTACAAAACTCAAGCATTGACTAGCATGCCTCCCATGGTAGCCTGGAACTGTAGGCTTGGCCTGTGTTTCAATATGAGCAGGTAAAGAATTTGGTAATTTCTGTGGCTTCTTCATAAAAACAACTTTGGTAAACAGAAGTTCTCAAAGTGAGAGGGTTGGTTCCTGTACATGAATCCTGTTCTCTCGTTGGAGATTGAATGAGACTAAACCTCTCTCCATGCAGTAACTAATGTATGAGGGTAACGACCAAGGACACGCTCTACCAGCTCTCTCCACATTGCACTCTACCAACAATCTCACATTCAATTGGAATGGCAGCTTCTCTTTTCTCTCTCAAGATCTTGCCTTTCTTAAATGTTGAAGCTCTCAGGCTTGGTAGAACTACACTTAGATTTGAATTCACCCATGAAACATTCAAATCAAGGCTAAAGACATAAATGCGAAATAAAACTGTGAACCTTAAAAAATCAAACAAACAAACAAAAAAAAAACTTGAAGCTCTCCTTTAGGAATTCTATTTTTATTTAAAGGGTTTATTTCTATGTTTCATCCCTCAGAGCTTTTTGTGATTTAAACAAAGAAATTCCCAAGATGCTATTCAGGTTGCAGAAAAACTCCATTCCCCCTTGACTGGGAGTCTTGCATGATACTCATATGCAGTTCAGAGAAGATTTGAAGATTGAGCTCGGCCATCTCTCTCCTAGAAGTTTCTGCTGCTCTAAGAAACCTATATTTGGCCTCTCTCTGGCGTCTTTCATGGAAATCCTTCCAGAGCACTAAGCAATGTATCCTACTTGGTATCTATTTATATTCCCCTTTTTCTGACCCAAATTGAAAGCTCCTTTAGGGACTGGGCCTCATGTACCTTCACGTTTCTAGTTCTCATCACAAGATGGAGGTATTTACATATTTTCCAAGTGAATTAATGAATACAGCTACACACTCACTCATCAAAATCTCCCCCCATTCCAGTGTAACTGTAGCAACTGATGGAAATTTAAGAAGGAACCAGAAGTTCCTCAGATTTCAGAATCTTCTATTAATACCCATCAACAACAAAAACCTGCAACTTTATAATGTAGAAAATTTTCAAAATATCTGGATCATAGAAAGGAATTTGGCCTATATACAATGAAAGTGACAAGCAATGAAAACATTTACAGTTAAAATGAAAGCAACTCCGTGTAAGGTACTTAAGAGAAAGAGAACAATGATTAAGAGCAAGGCTCCTATGGAGACAACACAGCCAGAGACCTCAAGCATCAGGCTGCAGCGGTGCTGCATTTTAGTAGCAGAGCTGATTAGGTTGAGATTAGAAAGAACTTCTAGGAACAGCTACCTGTCTCCCTGGAATACTGCTCACTTCAGACCTCTAATTTATTTCATATTGTTGACTAATTGTGCCTATGAGAGTCCAACTAAATATAGCCTTCTCCACCTCAAACATTTGCTGAACAGAAACCCAACTATGAAAAGTCAGATGTGATGCTCTTGTAGGCTTGGAGACACTGAGTTAAAAGATTCCAAGTCCACAGCAAGTGCTCTTCAGTGACTGTAGGAATAATCTAACTCCCAATACTCTTGGTACAAATAAAGTACAAACTTTAGGAAAATCACAGATAAGAAAAAGGATGTGTGCAATAAAACAAAATTAAACAATTTAAACAGTACTGAAATCCAAATATCTGAATTTACCTACAGAAAAACCCAACTGCAGGAACACGGGAAGGTTCTTCAATCAAAGTTTGTTTTCTTATTATTATAGGAGTATCTACATTTGAAAGAAATACTCCAGAGACTTTTGATGAAATAGGGAACATAAATCTTACACTTCATCTTCAGATTCTGAGGGAAATCTGTGGATATTTGCCTAAAGTAAAATGCCTGGCAAGATTCCTCTCATTTTAATTAGTTTGTAAGGCTGGAGTGGATTTCATAGCAAAATAAGTCTCCGAAGGTCTAATTAGCTGCTCAGTGATTAAACTCCACCCTCCACATTCTCTTTGCTTTTTAGCTTTATTTGAGACACAAATAGCTTGTTTGTCTTAGCTTTATAGTCAGAAAGCTAGTTTATCAGCTTTATGTGCTGTGCAGGAGTAACTCTTGACACCTGCACATTTCCAGGTCCTGATTGTCGATGCTTCTATAATGACAGGGTATTTAGCTATGCAGCATACTGTAAGTGCTCTCAACAAGAGTGAAGGAAGAGAGAAGTTAATCAAGCACCCAGAGGCTGGGGCACCTTAACAGATCCTTGGGTTCCTCAGGCAGAAGCAAAGCTGTCATCCTGAGGATATGTGTGTGTGTGTGTGTGTGTGTGTGTGTGTGTGTGTGTGTGTGTCTAAAAGACATGGATGTTGACGAGGGATGGGTAAACTACTGTTTCTACTGCCAGAAAAGTCAGTGTTTATCAGCTTTGGATGAAGGTCAAAAGGAGACAGAAAATAGGAACAGACTTTGACTTCAGTTGGGGAAAGTAGCTGTCAGGTACTGGGTATGAGAGATAAAACCTCACACTTTTGGGCAAGACTCAGAACACTGGTATGGGATATAAGTAATGGGCAGCCACCAGCAAAGCCAAGGTAAGGAACTGAGGCAGGATGGCTGACCGGGCTAGAACTTTCCAGTTGTACTTCATAAGATGGACATTCTGGCCTCATCTTTTTAGGAGCTCCGCTGTTCTCTGATGGTTGCTTCTTTGTTCTCTCATTTATTTGAAACATACTAAGTTCTAAACTCCTGTTCAGATTCCAGGACTCCATGACAAGGTCATCAAAGTCTCCAGATCTGAGCTTAGTTGGCAGTATCACAGGGTCATTCCATATCTCTTCTGTCCTCCCCTCTATACTGTGAATGGCACACATTTGGGAATCATATCTACATCCTGTGTCACAGATGCCTGAAGCAAGTAATTTTTAGTTTACCCAGGAACCCATTACGAGGAAAACTGAAAGATAGGAAGCACCAAGGAACATTCTGTCTTACTCATCAGAAATGAAGCAAAGCAACCCACTGGAAAGGAGATAGACTAATAAAGAATAAAAAAAAAAAAAACATTAGGCCCATAAAAATCTTTTGAGAGAGTCAAAATAGAATATAAAGAAAATATTTTGTTATGAGAGTGTGCATTAACAATGCTTAAATGTGCTCTTTCAGTACCACAAATTTACAACATCCCCTCTAAGCACGGGGACTAGCCCTTCACTACCATCCCCCCACAGTATTTTTTGCACATTTCAACAAGCACTCATTCTCTTAAGTCTAAACATCTCTTATTATGAACATCCTCAAAGTGAAAGAGAAAATGCATTGAATATCTCAAAAGGAAAAGAGATTTAATCCACAAACTTCAGCCTCACTTGTTAAGAACCTATAATTCACACAGAATGCTAAATGATTTACTTGTCTTTAGTCAATCAGAAATATACCTAAGTGAGCATTAGTATTGTCATTTACTGCCATACAAAAGTAGAAACTCCCAGAAAAAAAAAACTGGACATTTACAATAGTGGTGGAAGCAGAGTCTAGGCCAGGGCAACTGGATTCCCAATTGCTCTCCCCTCACTATTCTGACCTGCCTCTGGCAGGAACCAGCCTCATAGGAAAGTGCATTGAAATCAGAGAGAGACTCAAAGTCCCTTAGGAAATTTGCTATTTGAGACATCATTCTCCATTTTATTCCCCTTTCTTTCCACCTCACCCAAATGCAACCATAGCTCTACATACCCCACCCTGATTAGGAAAAGCGATGACAAAATCTCTCAGGAAAAGTGCACCACACCACTCACACAGTGGTTCCGTTCTCTGGATGGACCCAGGCAAGGAAGACGAAGACGGGCTACTTTCCAGTTTCCACTTCAAAATATGCAGTGAAATGAGTGTGGCTTTGTTTGTTTGTTTGTAGAGAGAACACAGACACTCTAGCATTGAACAGTTTCATATTCCCCTCTTCCAGGAGACAACCCCATGCCAAGGGAAGTCTAACAAGTAAAGACTCACCCGTTCCATCTCCTTGAAGTCATCGTCTAGCTTGGTGCCTTCAGCTCCTCCAACCTTCTCACTCACTTTCTGTAGAGGATAACAACAAAAGGGAATTGTTAGAAATAGTTTATTCTCTTCACAAAACTGTATTAAAAGCTTTGAGCACTTCAGCACCTAACATAACCTTGAGAACCACTCTCTGACTGTGGTAGGCAGTTCCAGTTTCAGGGCAGGATAGTGTTAGCTCAGAGAGGCTAAGCAGCAGCCTACAGGTCCTGCATCTGGTGGGCACTGGAACAGGACTTCAATATGCATCTTCTGATTCCAACCCCTGTGCTCTTTCTGTTATACAAATCCCTTTGTAACTACCTAATTGCTAACATTTTCCTTTGTAAATCCTAAGGAACAGCAGCATCACAGGATAATCATTTTCCTCAGATAAAGGATCTAAAATGCTCCTAGGTAGAAAATTACTACTTGTTCAACCTGTTCTTCAATGGGCCATTGAACAGATAATCACAGCATTCATTTAACTATTAAGAAGAAATGAGCCCAGATAATTCCAGATAAAAGTATTTGCTTCTACCCTCCCTGTTTATATCCTCACAAACAGGCGATGAGCTGTATCAAACTATGTTGAGGTATTTCCTTGCTATTCAATGATTTCCCATTACTAGACATCTTATATTTAACAGTTAACATATGAAAATTATCATAGTTCACTTACAAAATTTATGTTAATAGAAGTAGATTTACTAGTCTTTTCTGAAATAATGATTCAAATTAGGGATATTAAAAACTTAGGAGAGAACAGAAAAAAAATTCATCAAAGACAATGTTATTAAATTTTTTCAAATACCCTAACTGTAAAGGTGGTTAAATCTTTTCCCCCAAGATACCACTGAATTATACAAAGTCCACACAAACAGATAATGAATTTCTAACTTCTTTCAAGAGTTGCTTGGCTGAGTGTTTGCAGGAGATCCCACTGTGGTCTGTCTGCAGCAACCTTCACAGCGATGTGGGTTTTCTCAGTGAGCTTGGCTCATGTTTCCTGAAGGGGATTCTGGAGACCTAGCTCCAACTCCTGGATCTAAAAGTACTGTCAGTCTCTTGGTAGTTACTGAGATGAGTTTCTTACCCTTTCTTTCTCTCTACCTTTGTCTGTCTTTTGCCAAGAGGAAGACAATCAGGAGAGACTGCCATTACTACCCTAAGATGCCACCATTTACTGCACCATCATGGGATAGAATATTCACAGATGAGGTACATGGAGATATTATGAAAGTTATGTGTATAATAAGAACCTACATTTGATCCAGCAAATTATACAACTAACTCTACTCCCCAGGAAGGTGTACACCTGCTTCCAGCACTCTGGTTTTTCAGTAGTTTGTTCAACTTTCATTCTACACTTTGAGAAGTCAAAATTTCTTTATCAATACATTTGTGTCAAAATCACTTTTTCTCACTGACAATAATTTAGCTCATATTTCAGCCCTTCTTATTATGCTCAAAATGTATAATTGATCACTATTTTGGAGCAAGTGAACTCTAATCTACTACAACTATGAATTGGCATCTCTATTCAATACAACTGTCTCCAATGTTGAAAAACCTTACCATGTCCAAAGTCTCTTGTTATCAGGGGATCATTATAGTTAGACCCCTCATGTGACCTGTAACTGAGGTCACAAGTTGTCAATTACTTGCAAAATGGATACCAAAAGCATGTAGCTAAGAAATGCCTCTATGTGTATTAAAGTGAGAAAATTCTGATACTGAGGAGATAATCCAGTTTTTTTCCAACTGTTAAAAAAAATACATGTTCTTCGCAAGAATTCATATCACATATGGTACAATAACTGGTTTTATTTCCCTTCTTTCTGTTCCCTTCAATCGATAAACATTATGATAGCTGACTCTAGATATCAAATGGGACACTAGGGTCATGCTAGCAATTCATCACTCATACTAATTACTCTACTGACTTCAGATATTTTGTTTACCAAGTGTGACCAAAAGTGGGTGGAGAAGAAAAGGGAACATAACTAGACGAGGGCAAGACAACAACAATTATTACTTTTTTTTTTTTTTTTTTTTTTTTTTTTTTTACAAAAGCTGACATTTAAACTTCTTTGAAATGGTTTACCACACAGAATGAAAAAAAAGCCAGCATGTGTGTTCATACTGATGATGTATTAATTCACTGTTTGATATACAACTTTCTTATCAAGTTATATTCCTGAGAAGGAAGCAGTACTCAAAATAACTTCCACAGATACAGATTCTCTTTGATATTTTCCAGGTCACAAGGGAGATATATAATATATACAATACATTTTATATATGATAATATAATATAACACACACACATATATAGTTTACATGTATACATATATACATGTATACTATCTCATACTCTTGATTATAATCCATAAGAAAAACTTGTTAAAGATTTGTCAAAATGAACTACAATGTGAGTTCCACAGTAAACATGATAGGAGCAAATAAGACTGATCACTCCAGGTAGTCCTTCAGAAAATACAGCTTTTCAATAACAACAGCAATCAGGCCTAGTTTACATCTAATGCTTAGTTCTGACTCTGCTCTACCATTCATTAGTCAGGTCTCCATCATCATAAAAAAAAATCACATTGGTCTATAGACTCTTATACCTCTTATTTAGGTCCTAACTTCTCCATTTATTTCTGTTTCTGATCCACTTTATCTCCTGGTGTAGCAGGTTATTCTATCACACTGTGAACCCTGAGAATATGTTATTTATTGGGAGAAAGAACCTGCTTCTAATTGTGCAGTGGCTTAGTCCTATCAAAAACCTTTAATCTAAGACCTTTCTACTTGAGTATTGTAAACAAGATTAAGTAAAGTCAATTGTAGGTTAAGAGGCAGAGCAAGCAGCCAGTTGGCAGGAAGCAACCATAGAGAGTAAGATGGAGTCAATAAGATGGACAGAGGGAGGCCAAGGAAGTACAAGGGAGGGACATTCAGTCTGAGGACTTTTGTTTGAGACAGTGTCAGGGAAAGCTTCCTTTCTAGAATGTTGGCAGAAGAGGAGGGTCAGCTGTGTGCTTTCTCTGCCTCTCTGAGCTACCAGGCTTTCGCCCCAGGATCTGCCTCCTGAGTTTTTATTGGTAAAATTGAGTGATTGAGATTTAGTCAGAAACAACATCCCACTGTCTGTCATACAAAGCCATTCTTAGCCATTTACCAAACATGCCATGTTTATTTTCTTATGCTTTATAACTGTACCTATTCCCTTTTCTGTTCTTCAAAATCTATATATTGATTACAATGTCCACATATACACCTAACTTCTCCATCATCAGTGATTGCTCAACCTAGCAGAAAGTTTTCAGACTTCTTCAGGACTCTTAATGAGACTCTGCCATCAGAGTACCTAGAACTATTTCACTAGCAAAATTGCAAAGGACTTTTGACCAGTTGAACTCTAATGTAGAAAATGGAGAACTCATACTGCATGTGCTTGACTTAAAAATGTCTGATAGTAGCAGACATAATGACCAGAGACAAGAGAAACATTAACCTGATGAGAATAACTAATGAACACACTTGCATATAAGTCAGCATTGGCTCTGAACATCTATGAATTAAAGATACCTGCTACATATATTTTGTCTCTATAAGGAATAGATTTTAAAAGACAGGAAATGCAAACAACTAATATGTATGACATATAGGTTGTATTTATTTTATATTTTAATTAAAATTTAATGAATATAATTGCATCACTTTTCACTTATCTTTCCTTCTCCAGCCACTTGAGGCAATGATTTTTCAAACTATACGAGATACAACAATTTCAGTACTTACAAGGTGACCTCTTAGTTGTAAAGAAGGCAAATGCATAACATTTCTGCATTTCTGCCTCAATTTCTTTCTTTACCTGAGAAGTAGGACCAACATCACAGCACTAGATCACTTTACAATTAAACCAGATTATATGTGGAAGAGAATTCTGCAAATTTTCAAAAGTAATTCTTAAAATAATGAATCTTTGTTAGGCAGATTTGCTAGAGAAATCACCCTACCTTAGACTAATATCCCTGTTTTACTATGACTTAACAAAATACCTCTCTCCTCTCTCTCTCTCTCTCTCTCTGTCTCTCTCTCTCTCTTACACACACACACACACACCAAACTTTCAGCTTTTATTTATATTTTGATAAAATTAAGGTTCAAGCCCTTTACAAAGAAGCTGCCTTAGCTATCCCATAGCATGCTGATCTATTTTCCCTTTCTGTAGCCCAGAGACTGGAAGCACAGCCTCTAATCCTCATTAATGTCTTTAATGCCACTCATTTCGACAAGTAGAAACTCTGAATGCAACATCTGACAGTATGTGAGAAAGGTTAGTCTTATAGCAGCACTTTCCTGACTCCAGGCTTCTGTGTGCAGATCTGGACTGTTCCAGATGGTGCCACTCCCATGGCTGAAGACAGGGTAGATTCCCTTTATGGAATATGAGTCTCACACTAGCTCTTCTCAGTGGTTAAACTGGGATGTTTAAATGCCACGGTGTTTCAGAAAATGGATTTCAAAAAAATATACACTGATCTTTGCCATCTAGACATTTAAAATTTTCATATTTATAAGTAAAAGTATTTTTATGTATCCTCTAGGTTGAGCAAATTCTGACTGTTTCTGAGTACTAAGTAGAAGAACACTGGAACTCTTTCATAAAAGACAGAATTTGTGTTTGCTAAAAAGATCCAACAGGATGAAGACTGGTTTTTCTCTAACTACAGCTAAAACTCTTGAACTAGCTTGGGTGAGGTTAACTACTTGGTCTTTCTCCAGGGCCTTCCCTATCCTTGTCAAATAAAATGTATGAATCAATCTTTATCAGTGGTTCTCAACCTCCCTAAAACTGCTACCCTTTGATATAGTTCCTTTTGTGGTGACCTCAACCATAAAATCATTCCCATTACTATTTCATAACTGTAATCTTGCTATTGTTATGAATGATAATGTAAATGTCTGTGTTTTCAAATGGTGTTAGATGAATTCTGTCAAAAGGTCTTTTGACCCAAAGGAGTCTTGAC